CCATGTGTTGTTCAGCTTGATGTTGAGCAGCGAGTTCATGACGTCGTGCTATAGCAGCTATAGCAGAAATTTGCATAGCAGAAGGCCGTGCCCCGGTTTGAAAATGATGCCACAGAGATCATGCTTGTTGGCCACGCAGAGGCCGGGCGAGAAGGCATGTTACCCTGTAATAAAATACCTGGTTCGCAGTAACGTGCGAATCTTTTGCAGAGGATCTGGTGCTTCATTGTCTTTCTGGCCAGTGCAGCTGCGTGCTCTACCAAAAACTAGAAACCGTAATCATTGTACATAGCGCTTGAGCTGATGTTGATGATGATGCCTCAGGCATGGCAATGACAATCACTGCTTGTCTCATCTTATAGTATGTTCGTGACTTATTTGCATGCTTCCTTGGTGATGTGTCATTTGAAAAGAGCGCACCCTGCAGGCGAATGTTACGAGCCAAAGCTTTCGTGCGCCGTGTCAACGCAATTTGGGTACACATTGCTGTATCTGCAAGCATTTAGGGTCGGTAAGGTTGAAATTTTCAATGTATGCGTGGTTTCGAAACTGATGTATTCCTTTCGCGCGACTTAGTTGCATGGCCCAGAGACAGGCAAGACGGATGCTCCAAGAAACATGCGCAAGGTTTTTGGTATTTGTGCGTGTGTCATTAATCACATATCTGATGGAGATGTGCTTGCGGGACCCTGCTGTGGCAAAATTTTGTTGACTACCTTGACGTCAGTCACTGTGTTTTCCGCGCTGCACATTTTGGGTTGCAAGCCGTTTGCCTTCCACGAAAGCGAGTTATCCCCGATTCACTTGCACACATGACGTGTCGAAACTTGCCATATGCATGTGTGAATTGTAAATGTGTCATCAGAAGCACCGCGCCAGAAAGTGAGGGTTTGTTGTTCGTGTAGATTTCTGCGACTTCAGCGGTCGGACGTGCCCATGTGTTTGACACGAGGCTATTTAAAAAATGAGCTGCGTAAACAATGGAAAGCTTTTAGCCATGGTTTTATGATATGAAATTTGGTGTTCAATGCCGAGCTGTCACACGTTTTTTGGAATCCAAAAGCGCATTTTGCGGATTCTCGCAGCTAGGCCTAATCATAAATGGTTGTTGTCCCAGCATGTCCGTGTTTTAGCTTGGTTCGAAACCGGCTGCCGCCCTCTCCCATCGTGCAACTCTGTGGATACCCCGGAGAGGCAGTTAGTGGGCTCAACGTATCAAGATATGTCAAAAAAATGTTTGTAATTACTTTGTGCACATTGTTTGTTGAATGTTTCGTAAGTGGGGGAAGCCAGACATGGACGCCATTTGGCAAGCAATTTGCAGCATGTGTGGCAACAATTGTAAACTCGCAAATATTAGCCCA